CAAAACTGTGTGAGCCGGAGGCTAAGGAACTGTCTGCTAGCTCACACTAACGCACGCTCAGAGGGAACACTGCCTGCCACCAATTTTGTGAGAATCATAGAGTTGGGGGGGACCTCCAGGGTCGTCTTATCCCACCCCCTTTACACTGCAGGGAATTCACAAATACCTCCCCACACACCCACACCGCCAGTGACCGCTGCTCCATGCCCAGAAGATGGCAAGAAACCTCCAGGATCTCCAGGCAAACTGGCCTGGAGAAAAATGGCTTCCTGACCCCAAAGTGGCAATCGGCGTTTCCCTGGGCGTGTAAGAAAGACTTGAAGGTGCTGCTGGACTCCCCTCCCTATAAAGTAGCCCTTTTCTCTAGAGGAACTGGTCTCTGTAGTCTGGACATCAGTTGCAGATCCGAGAGATCTTGTTGGGATTCTTAAGTAAGTCGGCAGAGTATTAAGAGACTGAGTCCATGGTGTGTATTAAAATATAGAAGTTTACTATAAACCTAACATGGAACAAGGTACACAGGATATGAAAATAACAAAGAGCTAATATGTCTCCATCCTTGCAGCTAAAAGGTAAAACGGGAAGAGCCGAATGGCGTCTCCTTCTCTAGTCAGAACAAAGAGATGGGAGGAGAAACCAATATGCTAAATACTTGACACCTTGGTTTCCAATCAGACTAGCAAACTAGCTCCAAAGTTCCCGGGCATCCTATTGTCTAAACAGATTGGTTACAAACAAACATGCGACTTAACAAACATCATTAACCCTGTAAATACTGAAGTGTTTTGACTTGTAACACCCAACAGATCTCCAGGGCCCACCTGGAGGTTGGTAACCCTAGGAGGAGGTCCCGTGTGTGGACAATGTGAGCTCCAAAATGCCCCCACGGTCTGTCTTGGATACGCTGGTCCATTACTCTTCTTCTCACCCTCGCCCCCGCACTCCCTATGCATCTCTCCCCGCCCCAAATAACTTTGTCTACTGCGATATGGATTCCACATCCTCTAGGCAAGGGCTGTGTCGTTCCTGCATTGATGCGGTGGACTCTGTCTTTTGCACGCCAAAAGGCTTCGATGAGGGGGAAATACCTCTCAGGGCTAGCAACCACGAGATCTCAGTCAGGTGGTGGTGGAAAAATGCTCTCCGGTCACAGCGGACTTCTGGCTTACCCTGTAGGGCGTGTTGGTGAACTGTTTAGAGACCGAGTGCCCAAACTGCGACCCAAAACCCACTTATTTATCGCAAAGTGCCAACATGGCAATTTAACCTGAATACTGAGGTTCTACTTTAGAAAAAGCAACTCATACCTTAACTTAAAGGTAAAGGTTCCCTTGCTCGAAAGCCAGTCGAGTCCGAATCTAGGGTTGCGGTGCTCATCTCCGTTTCCAAGCCGAAGAGCCAGCGCTGTCCGAAGACGTTTCCATGGTCATGTGGCCGGCATGACTAAACACCAAGGCGCACGGAACGCTGTTACCTTCCCACCGAAGCGGTACCTATTTATCTACTTGCAATTTCTTGCTTTCGAACTACTAGGTTGGCAGGAGGTGGAACTAGAGACGGGCGCTCACTCCGTCACGCGGCACACTCGGGTCTCGAACTGCTGAACTACCGACCTTCCACAGCCTGCAGTTCAGCATCTTAAACACTTGAGCCAACGCAGCTCCACACCTTAACTTAAGATGATCCAAACAAAGTAAGGAAAGCAATCCCAGATGCTTTCAGTTACTTAAAATTATTTGGCAGAGAATTCGACACTTTAATGATGGTCTGGGCCTGGCTGGGGCGATGGCATGCGTGCCCACAGAGTGGGCTCTGAGTGCCATCTCTGGCACCCGTTTTCGGGACCATTCCGAGGCGGTTTGCCATTGCCTGCCTCCGCGTCACAACTCTGGTATTCCTCAGAGATCTCCCACTCAAACACTAGCCAGGGCTGGCCGTGCTTATCTTCCAAAAGCTGCCAAAAGCCAGCCCGCGCCACCCAAGTCAGGATCTCAGACAACTGGGCAAAAGGATTTCTCCAACAATTTATCCAAAAAGGCAAACGCGCTTTTGGACTATATCAACAGAAGCATAGTGTCCAGATCACGCGAAGGGATGGTATCGCTTTACTCTGCTCTGGTTAGACCTCACCTGGAGTATTGTGTTCAGTTTGGGGCACCACAGTTTAAGAAGGATCTAGACAAGCTGGAACGTGTCCAGAGGAGGGCAACGAAGACGGCGAGGGGGGTCTGGAGACCAAGTCCTCTGAGGAAAGGTTGAAGGAGCTGGGTCTGTTTAGCCTGGAGAGGAGACGACGGAGAGGGGATAGGATCACCATCTCCAAGTCCTCGAAGGGCTGTCAGATAAAGGATGATGCAATGTTGTTTTCTGTTGCCCCAGAAGGTCCGACCGGAACCAACGGGTTGAAATTAAATCAGAAGAGTTTTCGCCTAAACATTAGGAAGAACTTCCCGACAGTCCGAGCGGTTCCTCAGTGGAACAGGCTTCCTCGGGAGGAGGTGGTGGGCTCTCCTTCTTGGGTGGTTTTTAAGCAGAGGCTAGATGGCCATCTGACAGAAAGTGCTGATTCTGTGAACTTAGGCAGGAAGGGTTGCCTCAGTGCTTAGTTCTTGTGGCCCTTTCTTACACACCCAAGGAAAAGCTGATCGCCACTTTTGGGTCAGGGAGCCATTTTTCTCCAGACCAGTTTGGCCGGGGATCCCGGAGGTTTTTTTGTCATCTTCTGGGCGTGAAACACGGGGTCACTGGGGGTGTGAGGGGGGAGGTATTTGTGAATTTCCTGCCTAGTGCAGGGGGTTGGACTAGATGACCCTGGAGGTCCCTTCCACCTCTATGATTCTATGACATGGTTGCATTTAAAGCAATCACATCTGAAACTGTTTGGTCTGTGGAAGCCAACAAAGGCAAAGGTCCTCAGCTTTTTTCACAACCCTGCCTTTGTGCAAATGAGCAAATGTTTCTCTCCAACAGCCACATTTGGCCCACCTTGCAGGGCTCCATATTAGACGCTGGCAACGCTCTCTCTAAGCTGTGGAGTCTTGTGAGCGAAAATTCTACTTTGTGAGCTGCTACTGGCATTGAAGTTGTGAGCGAGCGATTGGGCGACTGCGTAAAAATTCGTTTGCTCTGGAGCTAAGAGACACACAGAAATGTGTGAGCCGGAGGCTAAAAAAATGTGAGCTGGCTCACACTAACTCAGCTTAGAGGGAACACTGGACGCTGGCCCTTCCTCTTCCCAGAATCGGTGTGTCCAGGCAGCCGTTGGCCAGTCTGCAATTCTGAAGCGCCTGAGAGATGTTGTTTCCCTGGAGTGTTTCCCCCACTCTAGCCCTGTTTCTGTTTTATTATATCGATCCTGCCTTTTTACCGATTGAATGCAAACTCGGCACTCTGTTGCGGTCCTGTCTTTGACCCGCTTCGACGCCGGTTTCCGACCGGCCTCTCTTTTCTTTTCTTTAAACAGTGATTTCTGTTTTGCTGATTAATTTTCCATTTATTGCCGCGGCTGCGTTCGTGCATTTAAATATGGGCCACCCTGCAAATCGAATGAGCGTCACACTGGGGCACAAAAGCGGCGTTAAATAGCAGCTTGGTTGAGACACGGCACGGAGCCCTGGTTCGATCAGACAAACCGTGGTTAGAGGTATGGCCTGAACGTGGGCCGCTCCATCGTTAAAGGTGGACTGGAGTCTTATCGAGTCCAGCACTGAACACATAGCTGGAAGCTGGTTTGCGGGCCGCAGTTAGCGCCATCTCCAGACTGGGGAATTCCTGGTGGTTTCAGCGGTTGAGCCTGGGGAAGGAAGGAAAGGACGTCAGCGGGGTATAACTCCATGGAGTCCACCCTCCAAAGCAGCCAGCAGGTGAGAAAGAGTTTCCTCCTGTAGGAAGCTGAAGGGTTTCTAGCCACCCACAGCAAAACCCGACTGTTCCTTCCCTGTTAGGTTTTCGCCTCCCATGGCTCTTTTTGTAGCAGGAACTCCTTTGCATATTAGGCGACACCCCCCTAATGTAGCCAATCCTCCAAGAGCTTACAGTAGCCCCTGTTAGAAGAACTCTGTAAGCTCTTGGAGGATTGGCTACTTAGGGGCATGTTGCCTAATATGCAAAGGAGTTCCTGCTACAAAAAGAGCCCTCTTCCCCTGCGTGTGCGCATTTTCCGGGGGTGTCTTTTTCAATATGTGGCATAAACTCCTGGTGCATCCAGCTGGGTGACCTTGGGTCAGTCACAAGTTCCGTCAGAGCTGTTCTCTCAAGAGCAGTTCTCTCAGAGCTCTCTCAGCCCTACCTACTTCACGGGGTGTCTGTAGTGGGGAGGGGAAGGGAAAGGAGATTGTAAGCCACTCTGAGACTCTTTAAGCTGCTGCAAGCTGAGTCAGACCTTCAGCCTACCTGACTCCGCGCTGTCTGCTCTGACCGGCAGCAGAAGCAGCGCTTCTCTTTGTTGTTTGCATAATCCGAGAGTCCGGCCAGGGATTGGTTCTTAGCGACAAAAGCTCATTGATACTTTTCAAGCAATTTGCAGGTGGTATGAAGAGGATAGGAGCAGGCGTGCCTTGCACAATTGCCTACACTTATGATGAATGGGTATGGCTGCCAATCTCCAGGTGGTACCTGCCAATCTCCAGGTGCCAATCTCCAGGTAGTACCTGGAGATTTCCCGTTATCAGAATTGATCTCCAGATGACCAAGATCAGTTCCCTTGGAGAAAATGGCTGCTTTGGAGGGTGGACTCTATATACCTTGCTGAGGCCCCTCCCCTCTCCAAACCCCGCCTTCCCCAGACTCCACTCCCCCAAAGCTCCAGGTATCTCCCAACCCAGAGCTGGCATCCTTAAGAACCCTTCTCTGTCTCCTCTGTGAGACACAACCAGGGTGCCCTCCCTGGGGCCGGAGGGTCCGTTCCCGCTCCAAGCGTCTAACATTTTACATCTATTTTCAGCTGGTGAGGAGGGGAAGGAAGAGACACACACACCCCGGTGTCCAGCCTCAAGAAAGACATGGGGTGCGCCGTATCCGGCCCGAATGTCAACCCGGACTCGGCCGTCTCCGAAGAGAGGAGGAGCCCGTCTCTGGAAGGTGCGCCGGATTTGAAAACAGAACCGGAGTGTGGGGGCAGCGAGGAGCCCAAAGAACCGTTCTTGCTCTCGGAGGCTCAAAAGGGCCTGATCCGGGCCTCCTGGGAGGTCCTGCACAAGGACATCGCCCGAGTTGGAGTGATCGTCTTTATCAGGTAAGGAAAGGGTTCCGGCCCTGAGAACCGATGGGTCGGTTTTCGGTGGCTTTGTACAGCGCAGAGGTCTGGTGGGTACCGCTGTTTCGTGCGCGCGACCCAAGAACCCTCATCCACCCCTAACCCAGGCAGCCTTGAGAAAGACAGGAGCGCTCCGTCTATGATTGTCAGCTGCTTAATGGGCCTTTTGTAGGACCAGCAACAAACATCAATTTAAACGTCAATGTAGCCACAAAAGGGAACTTCCCCCTTTAGAAGACTTTCAAGCAAGGGGAAGCGGGTGTACAATTCTAGAAACTGGGAAACACCGCCAGCTGGTCTGGTTCCACAAGCTCATGAAAAAAGCAGGATGTTGCCTGAATGCCATAAATGCAATGCGAGTTAAAAAATAAAAATTCCGTTTTTAGAAAAACTCTAGCACACATGAATTTCTTTTGACTCTGTTCTGGCTGCTGCACTCTGCTTAGTTATTCTGTCGCTGCGGGAGCGATCTGGTGCCCATAACCTTTTTGTTGGGTTTTGATAGTGAGATATTGAAAAATGGTATTTAGCAGAGATAAGATAGCTTAGCAGAGCTAGAGTAAAATAATTCAGACTCAGAGTCCATGTGTGATTAAAATAGAAAGTTTTTACTAAATTCTAGCATGGGGAAGGGTAACTGGGATGAAAATAACAACAGAGCTAATCGGCTACATCCTTACACTACAAAGACAAAACTAGAAGAGAGAAATGGCTGCTCTCTCTCCTTCTTCTTCAGAACAGCAAAACAAAGACGGGAAGAGGAGCCATAAAATGCTAAAACACTTTGACACTTTCCTCCCAATCAAACTCCTAGATCATCGAGAAATTTCCCGGACTTCTACTCCTAAAACAACATTGGTTACATGAAAAACATGTGACTTCCTGTGAGCAACACAAACAAACATTTAACCCCAGATACACTGAGTGTTTTCAACTTGTAATACCCAGGGGTCGTTTCGTAGAAAAAGAGCTAGGGGAACTCATTAGCATAACTCATTAGCATATGCCACACCCCCTGACATCACTGGAAGTGTGTCATAAGGCCACACCCCCTGACATCACCGGAAGTGTGTCATAAGGCCACACACCCCGCCCCCAACGGTCCCGGCCACTGCCGCCGGCCTTGCAGCTCCACTGCCGAGCCCCATGAGGGGCCCGGCGGTGGACCTGCAAGGCCGGCGGGAGTGCAAGGAAGCCGCGC